ACTCATATTTGGCACGTGAACAAATCATGAGACTCACATTTTACAAATTGAGTCAGTGCCAAATTATCGTGTCGGGTGCAATTTTGTTACTTCTAGTCATCAGGTTGAGATTCCACGGCTAAATGTACTCTTAGTCTCTTACCAAATAATGCAAAATAGTAGCAAGGCTGTCACTTTGCATTCTATCTGCCAGTTCAATTTATTACCAGGATGCCACAGACGATGAAAGAGCAGTAAATAAGTTTTTACACATAAAGATTGAACCAAAACCCAAATGACAAACTAAATGCTTTCAGGAAAACAATGCCCAAACCAAAACTAAATATTTTCCAACAAACTGATGTGAAAACCATGTATTACAATCATGTGTTCCAAAAATGCCAATGGGTGTATAAGTTAAACATTACATACCCATAAGTATATCAAAAGTACCAATGCCAAGCACCTGTGGCATCGGCACCTCACCTCTCCTTAAGACATCAATATATTATTAACGCGGCAACTTCATTTAAGATGATTCTGTGTTGCAACTTAACACCCATTCATAAGGAGAGTCCGGTGGATGTAGATGTCAGAGTGAATTAGCCATACGTTAAACATCCCATTAGAGATTGTATTTTTCAAAAAAAATATAAATTTAATTTCTCACCTCTAACAACAAAACTTTTTTATGCACCGGCACTTGAAGGAATGTCCATGACTTTTCCCACTGCAACTGTTTTTCCTGTAGACACAGTAATCCAAATTACACACTGCATGCCCAGGGTAATTCATCAATAATGAAAATGCAGTCACTTACTTTCAGTTCGAAGAGTAAACCTTCCAAGTTGTGCAAAATCTGAGAATCTCTCAACACAAATCAAGTTGTTCACCTGAGATGATATTGCCAAAAAGACATAATTCATGAACCAAATTTCAAACACAGAGAAATGTTTCAAATATAATTGAGATGGTCTACACTTCAAAGCAAAACTTCTTTCCCTGTTCAAAATAGACTGCCAGTGAAAACTATTTGACAAAATGTAATATTGGTTGGAGATTCCAACCACTTCAGAGCTTTGAAAGCTTAGAAGGTGCATAAATAACAGAACAATGCTACAGCTTTCATATACATAGAAATTCTAGCAGTCCCACAATTATCAAGCAGGAGGATGATACTGTGTTGAATGGAAAACATTCATAATTCTAGATAATTCCAAGTGTCGGAGAATAGACACTTTGGAATTTCAAAAAGAGTGAAAAAGCAAGAAGTAAACCTGAATGCGGCAAACAACAACAGCACCATTCTTGACAAATAGAACTTTCTTTTTCTTGGGTTTCTTTGTCTTGGGATCAATTCGTTGTAGCAGCTCAACAATCTCACATTACTCAACAACAGAATGAATGCGCAAGAAAGCTTTATACCCAGCTGTAAATATTGCCTAAAATAGCAGAGACAGTTCAATACCATTAGATGCAAAGTTAATCAAATGAACTAAAAGATTAAAGATAAGAGAGAAGAGGACTTTACAAAGTGGATTCATTCATACATTGTCAAGCAACTCAAGGATCAGCAGCTGGGCTGTAAATCCAGTGACTGTAGGTATTGGTTTTTGCTAGGTAAAAATAAAAAAAAGGGATATAATTCAGCAAAACTTAAACAAAATCACAAATAACACTTCAGAAATCAAAATTAGAAAATAAGTATAGAAAGGGATGGTGAGGCCAAGATGTCCCAGCGTTGCTATCAAAAACTACAAAAGAACGGAAATATTTCTGCAAACAAATTTGTAAATTATCCTACCATTTACTTTTTTAACTCTGCTTTCTATAATCTAATTTCCTCTTTAGGGGATCAAACATGAGAGCCTTCAGTTTTTACAATCTTTAAAGCACTTACCAACACAACGCAAGACAAAACCAGATAATATGTCCTCTTCTTCAATTCCAGATAACTTAACCCGCAGATTTTCACCAGGTCCAGCATGTGCAGCCTTATCTTCATCACAGTAAATGGCAAGAACTTTCACTTGAGCCTGCCATCCATGCATCTTGGACTTCAAAATCGAAGTTTAACAATAAATAAACAAATAAAGAAATTAGGTGAAAGATTAAGCACCTTGTTTGGCATGACCAATAAAGAATCACCCTCACGCATGGTACCAGATTCAACCTTTCCTATTATGACAGTTCCCATGCCTTTAAATTTGTCAATTATAGGCATCCTCCATATTTAGAAAACCTATAGTTAATAGATGTGGAATTAAAGATTGATACAGCCTTGATAATTCAGAATCTATATTGGGTAACTTTAATTTTAGCAATTTAGGGTTCTATTTTATTATACTTAAGTTTTTAGATGTTCAGAGGCAGACTTAATATAATTTCAGTTCCATGATTTAGATTTTTCTTTTCAAATATAATTTGGGTACATTTTGGTCATTCTAGGATCTTTAGGAGTTAGATTTTTTAGGTCCTATTTTCTGAGAATCCTAGCCAGTTATTTACTTATCTTATGTTTGGAATCAAAGTCAAAGGGACTTGAAATAGTCAGTGTCCTTATGAGTAACCATCTAGCCTTTTCTATAACAAAGGGAGAAGGGTATCGTTATACAATTATACTTTCTTCCTAGAGTTTTATGTATTCCTACAGTAATAAATCATACCTAAAAGGACCTTTTGGATCTCTAGGAGGAATTTCAACTGCATCAAGAACTTCAAAGAGGCAGGGGCCATTCCAAGAGGGGCATATGCTCTTGTCCAGTCTCATTTTCACGTTGGAACCAAGAAGACCAGACATTGGTAGGAACTGGACATCTACAGGTTCAGAATAAGATGAAAAACACAATCAATATACAGAATTAATTTGCTTTGCTTTTATTAAAAAAAAATACAAATAACTCACAATTTTAATTCAATCAATCACCATTTTCCTAAAAGAAAAAAAAAAGAGAAAAAAATATTTGAGAAGTAATATATCAATTACCTTTTTTCAAGTTGGAGCCTGAAGACCTCAGAAATGGTATCATCTTAGATTCAATTTCATCATATCTGAGGGAGAATGCCATGAAGAATGAACCATCAGAAATAGAACACAGAAATAAAAAGCATATGTAATCATAAACTTAACTAAATTCAGGAACAGCACCTTTCTTTTGACCAGTTAACAGTAGGATCGTCCATTTTGTTCACCACCACAAACAGCTTAGATACACCCAAAGTTTTTGCAAGCTGAACATGTTCACGGGTTTGCCCACTCCTCTCATATCCAGTTTCAAATTCCCCTTTACGGGTAGAAATACCTAATTATGACAGTCGGATAGAGAACAAGACAGAGAAAGAAAAAGAATTAAAAATTCAAAAAATGGGACTTGTGCAAAACAAATGCAGTGAAGTAGCGCCTAACTCACCAGAACACCAATATCTGCTTGAGCTGCTTCACTGATCATATTGGGGACATAACTCTTGTGACCCTGAACAAACAACCCAAAACTCAAAGTTAAATCACATACTGAAGCAAAATTGATGGGAAATACACATTCAAGACACAACAAATTATGGCCAAAGAATACAAGAGCTGAGAATTTTATTCTGTAAACAAATTCACGACTTCCTTACATCAATACTGTACGTAACTCCATCATTTAAATTACAAACTCATTCGCACACACAAACTTGATAAGTATTTAGAATCATAAGTAGCTAAGCTGTCACATTCTCAAAAATTATAATCAAATGTACTGAGGATGGCTTGCAGGTAGTGTTGCAAAAGTAGGGATTAGTTGACCAGGAGGCACTGGTCACTGCACCACCTTACCCCTTGGACTGCCCAGATGAACAGTGGTCAGCAACAAAATTGTGCCATAATCCAAGACACAACATTGGAAACTTTCTCAGAGGGCCCCAGTGAGCTACTCTGATGGAGTTTTAGTCAGAAAGGTGGTAGAACGCACCCTCACACGCCAGTGGCCCGAATCTGACCTGCAAACCAGACCCGACCCAGTTCCTAAAGGTTGAAAAAGGTTGTGCCGAGTTAAATGACTAGCTGTGTTTTGATGTTATTTTTGGCAGTTTAGTCCTTTAAGTTTCGTAAACATGCTGTGTAGTCCTTGAATTTTCAACTTTTTTCAATTTCTGTTTTTCTTCCATTTTTAATGACTTTTTTTACTTCTTTTTTTTTAAAAAAAATAATAATTAAAAGGCGAAACATCCAGACACATCTAGTTGCACCTGGGTGCTCCACACTGCTTGCATGAAAAAGGAGAGTTTCATTTAACAAACTTAGAAACCATCACATAATTCGTTTTTACATTAACCTGAGATTATATATTGTATTAAAGCATTAATTAGAAACTATCCCTTCGACCTATCCCTCATCTTTTTCAACATCATAGAATCATATCATAATTCACAAAATACAGATGTATAAAAGCAATAAACTAACTAAAACTTATAACTTTATCCAACAAAAATTAAATAATGAAGACAGGAAATCATATAAAAAATACAAAATCATGGTGTTTTAGCTTCAAAACAATTGCTCACTGGTGAATCCAAAAAGGTAAACCTAGTATTTTCAGTCTCAAAGCATGCTCTTCCAACTTCCACAGTAATACGCTACAATCAATTGTGTGAGATTGTGCAAATAACAAAGAGCAATGGCATGTATCAGAAAAAAAGAAAAAATTTGCAACCATTTAAAACAAAATATATATATATATATATAGCAACCATATGGAATCCAAAAATGTAAACATGGTTACCACATCTTAGAGTACCTTAATTCTCTCCTCTTCATTAGTGTCCATAATATATGCCATATACCTAACACAGAAGATAATTATTGTCAAACAATGCAAGAGCTGAGACAACATTTAACAATCTCAAGAATGCTTGACGTGATGCTAAATCAAACAAACTTAACAGGAAACAGAACCAAAAATTTTGAGAGCAACTTATATTGGCATTTGATAGGATAAAGAGAATATATTCAGAATTTTTTAGGCACTTTGAAATCCATTAGTCATTCAAAACTTGTGACAAATTCAAAAATGACTTTAAAACTAGAAAGCAATCCCTCCAAACAGCAGTTCTAATCCGAAAATCCACAAATTAAAGAATTTGAATCAAGAGGATCCCAATTTCAAGTTTTCAACCAATGAAACTTAAAACATACTTTTAATCCCGTCCACAACCTCTGTCAAACCATCCAAAGCAAAATGCAATTAAAAACTTTTAAAGGAAAGAAAAAACCTACCAGCATGACCAATGAACACAACATTGAAGCGGCATTTTTCTTATTTTCTTCCACCTCATCAAGAACTTCAGCATCTTCAAGAGCTGGTGGCTTTTCATCTCTCACTATACATCCAAACCAAAACATAAGAACGAGACAATGATAATTGGATTGCAGAAGTAGAAAACATAATACATATTACTGCAGTTTTGCTGTGTTTATGTATTTTGGAAGAGAAGGAAGGGAAGGAACCTTTGGGTTCAACCTTGACTTGCTGAGAGACTGTACTATCCTTTCCCCCGAAAAGGAAAAAAAAAAATGTAGAATGAAATAAAGGGGAAAAAAGCATCATCAATATGCAATTTTATTAAAGACAAAAAGAGCCTATCTAGAATGAGCAAAATAAAATAGAAAATAAAATAGGTACAAATATCTAAATGGTTAATTTTTATAGTAGCTATTATGATGGAAGCAGCAAAACCAAGTTTCACTCTTAAATCTTATTTCAGGCAGAAGCCAGAAGCACCATATCCATATTATGCAGTTGGCAAACAAGCACTGGCAGCGATTGCAATGGTGATGAATGAGCTGCCACCACTTGGGCACCAATAGAGGAAATTAGTAGATTAATATTGTAAAACACACAACAAAAACCACAAAGACTTATATTAATTCTTGTCAAAAAAGAATTACCACATCAACCTAATTCAAATAGATGCCACCAGAACAAACTAATTAGCACCTTGCACCTTCCCTGAAAACCATTTGCCCTCTGCGCATGAAGGTCCATAGGGTTACTTCTTTTGGTTCGTCCCATCAATAACAAATTCTTCTCTAAGGACAATCAAATTAGTACCTGAACCAATTCCAGAGCCACCCATTTATCAGCATATATGGCGTTGGATAAGCAGTAAATACATAGAAATAATATAATCACAAAAAACGATAATCGAAGACAAATAAATAGTTCATGCTCGAATGCATCATCTTCCAGCCAGCTAACTCAATCCGTGATACAAAAATCAATCCAAAGATACTCTTTTGGTAAAGACTCTGGGAAGATGCTGCTCACTTCAACTAGCCCAAGAATACCAATAGCTTCCTCTCTCTTTTTCTTTTTTTTTTGGGCCAAAAATAGCTTTCTCATCCTTGAATATACATCTTTGCGAAAAAAACATAAAAAAAAAAAAAATGAATTTTGTATCTGAAAAAAGAATTTCAGTCCAAAGAATGCCAGGACCCATAACATCGCGAAACGAAAGAACATCGGATTAAAAAAATTAAGAAGAAATCAAATGGGTCAGGAACCTGAGCAAGGCACAGAAGAACTGGCTACTCAAGAAAGGATGTCGGAGTGATCGCCGGCGAGATCGTAATGCAGGGCGAACTTGAGATTGGAAGCTTCGGCAGGCGCCACCAGATTGGGGGAGAAAAAGTTACAAATTTTGTTAATTTTTTTTTTAATTTAATTTAAAGATAGT